TTTTTTTTTTTTTTTTTGGAAATAGTTAAATGACTTACCCTCGGCATTTTAGCAACGGCCCTGCGGAATTTCTCGATCGGCCTCAGGGACACCACCTCGACAACGAGTGTCTTTTGCGACTGATGTTCAATTTTTGGGGATTCAGGTGCCAGTGCCATCTCCACATTGGCGTCTTCGGGTAGGCAAAGGGGTAACCGTGATCTCGCCGACAGATACGGAGACAAATTGCTCTCGTCACGTGACACTTCTGATTCCATGACACACGACAGTAAAATCTAAAGGCGGAGTTACGGATCGCATGACTGATGCATATTTCGGCACGGTATTAAATCATAACGTTTTTCTGTCATTGATTGTTTTGTTTTGGGGGTGAAATATGATGGGTAATAAATGAGGGTGATTATATGATCAGATAATTTTGGTATTTTTATTATTATGTTATACGGTGGCGTTTAAAACTATAAACGTGATAGGTTAGCTCGTAAAATCATACTAGCACTGTTTACGTATTTTTTTTTTTTTTTACTCGCGGAAGAAAAATGTGGGTGAAATGGTTTAGCCTTTCAGACATTATATTAATCACAAAAGTTTTGAAAGTTGACAGCAGGAAGCGATTATAAAGCATTGAGAAATTGCATTGCGCGTGCAACAATGAGTAAAAAAAAAAATTATTCGTGAAAACAAACCATCACTAGTAAACGATAATGCGGTGTTAGTAGTTAATATACTAGGTGGGTAACTTAAATAGATGCATAGTTCAATGTGTTATTTTAACTACGAATATTTCAAAATATTTTACCTAGGTCGGTGATCATCCGTATTGACGCCAAAAATTACCTAAAACAAAAATAAATAACGCACAACATTAAGAATAGAAAATATCATAATATTATAATGGCATAGGCAAAAGTTATATATTAACATAATTATTATACGAAGATGAAAGGCTAAACAAAAACTCCTTATAAATATTAGAATTTGTGTAATTTACGTTTTTTAGTGACTACTATAAGTATAACTAGTTATTTTATTTACTCTTTAACTGTCAATAACTGTCAAACTCGATTGTAAAATATTTTGATTCGAATGTAAATATAGGTAAATAGTAACCCTAATATAACTCGTTGTTTTAAAAATGTACAATATTCATTTTTCACTGATGATAATTAAAAAAYCGTATTACGGGTGTTCCAGTTTAACGGAAAACACTCATTATTTYGAMATTTTTTGACATTTTTGTTAAGTCGTTACTCGTTAGAAAACAACATTTTTCTAAAAAAATATAAGTTTTACTATTTCTTGCCTTCGAGATTTCATTTTTCAAATTTTTACTTTTTTAATGAAATCGTGCATATTATTCCTTATTACAACAAATTTGTTGGAGTATTCTTCAACATATGAAAATCGTACTTAGAATGAGTAGTTTATGAGTTACAATTATTTAAAGTCTAGATGAGCATGGTGGAAGTAGAAGTGATTCAGGTGTTGCCTGCATGCAAAATGTTGGTCCACCACACCGATCTTTTAGACTTTAAATACTTAAAACTCTTATAAAATTAATAAATTAGTTGGTCAAAATTTTATTTTAAACAAACTAAATACTCTGAATAGTTTCGGTATATTAAAATAATAGTGATAACATTTAATTTTTTCGAAAAATGTAATTTTTTAACGAATCATAATGAWATAAAAAAAATATTTTCTGATATAAGTACCTTACGTTACCTAAATGTATAACCCCAAGTACTTTATTCAAAATTATGCTATTTAATGTCTATAATATATTTGTTTCATTTAATTTATAAATACCTATCTACTAAATTTTATTTAAGAATTCAAAACACTAACCAATGTGATAAACGTACCTGAGCAGAAATTTCTACAYATACCAACATGGAAATAGATATACCATTAAAATATTATTTCAATTTGAGATTGGATGGTTTGAATTTTATAAATACATTTAATAAATTTACATAACCGTCCTAACCAAAAATTAATTTTATAAATAGTTTAAGTGAGTAGGTATTTTAATGACTTATTTTCAACTTAATTGTTATGATTAGTAACATATTTTTATTTACGTTCAGAAATATTAACAAAAAACTTGTTTGTTCGTTTTTTTAAGTAACTACAATTACAATTGATTAATTAACAATTTTTACCCAGCCTCKATGTTGAATACAACTGTATAACTGTATACTAAGTATTAAATAAATATTTTCTATTTTTTATCTCATAAAAAGATAATGAGTACCATTGAACTAACTCAAATATGTATCTATTCTATTTTTAAAAAACTGTTCATATTGGATCTATCTTATACAAATTTTCCTACCGATATAATATAATATATGCTTATTTGCAATGTTATCAAACTATGTGTTAAATAGTTTCTTTTTTATTTTCTATAAATAGGTTATCTATTTAATTATTACTTCCATATCCGCAATGATAATACTCCTAATTTTATAGATAAAAATACTTATTAAAACGAAAAAAACAATAATTAGGTGAGTTAAAGTTCAAACCACAATAATGTTATATTATACAACAATTAATTTGTAATTGTAATATTTCTTAACGTTGGTATTGTTTTTAGAGACTTCATAGTTCATATATGTTTCTAAACGCAAAATCGGGGTGTACAAGACAGGCAGCACGTTTGAACACAATAAATAATTAAACACGGCCGCAGCGAATGCTATACCACTGTAAGTCTTTCTATAGAGAACGTACTTGACCTCTAGCGTCAGTGCGTGTATAGTAATAATAGTATATACAATAAGATATACGATATTACCTTTGAAACACAAGCAACACAGTCTATATGTATGGGTTATAATAAAATGTTTTTGAATGAGGAAGAGGCGACGGAAATGCTCTTCTATATGTATATATTCTATATGTATATATAATGTATATTACAGTTCAACGTGTATAACATAACATACGATTTATTTGTATACAACATCATATTACTACCTAATAAATAATATGTACATATTATCAAACGAAGGAAAGCTTATTATAACAATTCGTTCACTAATATAATTATATTTTGATGATACGTGTAAAAATCATAATTAGATAAGCCGATGTTATTATTATTATTATTTAAACACCATTTAATTACGTTAAGCACTAAACAAATCAAAGGTTGAGAATGAGCGAACCGTAAATGGGAAAAAAACCGATAAAACTTTGATAACAACGACCTGAAGAACTTTGACCACTGAACGCCGAGACCAAGTCTCTCGGTTCCGACAGTTTTAGTTCGTTTGTTCACGATGCCGGACACGGTTCGCCAAGCGCCCATTTCCGACGACCGTTACCGGTGCAGCGGCACGGGTATGGACAGCTACCCGTCTTCGCCGGCCGTCTCGCCGTCGCACAGTTTCAAACGCTCAAAGTCGACGTTCTACCTGCTGGACAGRCGCACGTCCCCGCCGCCGGGCCGACTTCTGCAGCCGCAGAACGTGACGGCCGGTACGATCCACGGGTGCGCGGCGTTCTTCTGGACGGTGGCCAACGCGCTGCTCGGTCTGCCGTGGGTAAACGTGCTGATGGTGCGCGGCCCGTCGCTGTGTCTGTGCCTGTGGGTGCGGTGCGTCTGGATGTGCGCACGGGTGCCACTGGTGGTGTCCAAGCACGTCTTGCGGCTATTCACCGCGAGCCCCGGCGGTCTGGACAGGGGCCGATTCACCGTGCTGATAAACGGCGGCAGCACCATCCAGGCGTTGCACTTGGCGAGGAACTTTCACCAAACAGGCGCTCGGGTAATCGTGTGCGAGATCGACGGGCGGGCGGAGCTGTGCTCGTTCTCGGTGGCGGTCGACCGCTATTACACCGTGCCCGGGCCGAACGAGGACAACTGCGTGCAGTACGTTGACGCGTTGAGGGCGATCGTGGAGAGGGAACGGGTGGACGTGTACGTGCCCACCGGCGCCACCGTATCGGCGTACTACGATGCGGTGGCCAAACCGCACCTGGAGCTGCTCGGGTGCCGGTGCTGGACGCCCGGGTTGGACGGCGTCACGACGCTCAACGACCTGTCCGAGGTGTTCCGCGTGTGCGAGACGGTCGGCCTGCCGGTGCCCAAGCACCTGCTCGTGTGCTCCAAGGACGACGTCATCAAGCTGTACGACAACGTGTCGTTCCGGGCCGATCGGCACTTCATCGTCAACTTGGGCCCTTCCGGCTGCAAGGCGGCGCACAGCCTGCAGCTGCCGGCCACCAGGAGGTCGCTGCGGCTGCCCGGCCCCGTGTCCGACGATCGTCCGTGGCTGCTTGTCCAGCACTGTCTCGGGTCGTACTACACGACGTGCACTACGGTGCTGGCCGGCCGGGTGGTTGGCAACGTGACGTTCACCGCGCACGGCGGCAAAGCCACAGACCAAAAYGTGCTGATCGACGACTGGACCGCGCGGTTCGTGTCCGCCGTCCCGGTGCCGTTCGACGGCTACCTGTCGTTCAGCGTGTGCGTGTCGCCATCCCGGCGGGTCGTGCCGCTGGGTTGTCGGGTCGGCGTGCCCATCACGTACGCGTCGTACCGCAGCAATTTCGAACACGTCGTCATGCAGTGCCTGCCGCCGCTGCGGGGGCACCGTTCAAATAACGGCACAGCGGGCAACAGTGCCGTAGCACATGCGAATGCRGCCGTCAACGGWACACCGCCGCAGTGCACCGAGCTCGTGGTCGAAACGACGGGTCGGTATTACGCGACGACGCTGCTCTACGATACGGTCACCCGGATGATGACCGTCCAGTCGGTCAAGCACCTCGTGCGCACATTGGTCACGGAACGGGAAATGGTATTCGCGTATTGGGACCCGCTGCCGTTTTTCGCCCACTACAGTCTGCAGATGATTGTGGACCGCATAAACACAGCGCTGGACGAAGTGGCGATACTGTCGTCGTCGGCCCAGAAAAACAGATACACCACGTTTTAACATATGGCGGCAGACACAGCACGTGTACAAAATGTTTAATTTATTTTTCGGTTTTGTGGTGTATGGGTAGCGGTCCAATGACGTGATGTACCGAAAACGACAGTACCTACATTGTGGTTCGATCTACACATTAGGCAGGTCTCCAAGACCCATACATCATATTTTTGGTCATCATAATCCGGGCTCCTCTTTGAAACATTTTTTAAATATATATTAAAGTAATTAATTGCATGAATGCCGGGCCCCAGTACCAAGGGTCCATCTGAACCCCCCCCCCCTTTGGTGAAGGCCCTGACAATAAGTAACTATATAATAATATAATGATCTATGTGCATAGACCACTGTCAAATCCACAAATCCACTGCTAAAGTCGCCCATCATTTGCTCTGGTAAATAATCGTGTCTGCATATTATAATTATAGAATTCTGCAATGAGGCCAAATACGTTTAGGGACTTTCTACACAAGACACTGCAGAAACATCAGTTATCCAATTAGTTAGGTATTCATAATATTCAAATTATGTTATTATACTTATTATTATAACCAGTTGGTTTACTTTATATTTAATTTCTTTTGAGCATAGCAGACACAATATTTCAGTTTTTAACTTGTAAGGCCTTTACATTTTTAAAAGAAACAGATATACGTGGAGGGTTATATAGCATTATAAAATTTAAAAAAATACCATTTACCAATATCATATTTTTCACCCACTCTCTTACATTTAATATAATGTAATACATCTATTACTAAAATGAAAAATATTTTCACCAAAACAAATGACAACACTTAGGGACTTATATGACTTAATTGAGTTAATATATTAATATATTATAATTGTAACCGTCGATTTGAAATGAACATTTATCCAAAATCAGTTCGTTGAAAAATTCATTAGACAAATCCGGTTTAATATAAATTATGAATAAATTGGTAAATCTAACTTAAATCTTAAAAGTTCAAAGCAAATAGTTCCTTATTGCTGATTTTACCTTTTACTTACAAGACAAAACCTAGTAAATTGAAATTTTCAAAATATTTTTTTCTTGAATGAACTGAGTACCTGCATCCTGGTAGGTACACTGTTTATTTCGATATCATAATAATTGTTTACTATATTTTCATAAGATAATATACAAAAGCAAAAACTCGTGACTATTATATCAATATCAATTAAAAACAGTTATAATATGCTTTTCCTGTAAAAATTTAGTAAAATCGACTTTCGACTTTACGAGGTCTCCCGTGTAGCAATTTGTGGGTGATCCGATATCTACTACGGATAACACACGAATAATGAACCGTTGTTTAAAATTTAGAAAATAATTTCTTCAAATAACGATTAATATATTACACAATTAATGAAAGATTAAATACTTTAGTTAAAATATTAATTTTTGGCGGGACTAATTTTAATATTGGATGTGCTAAGCCCTCTACCTAATAAGTCACCTCTCAAATTTCACCTATAATGTCTGAAATATGTTGTTTAATTTATAATTAAAGAAAATTATGAAACTATTTATAAGAAATATTTTTTTATTTTTTTTTTTGTAGATAACATATTGGACTGTTACTTGACATACCTATACTTAACTGTACAAATTTATCTATAATATACAACAATAAAATATAATTTATTGTTATATTAAAATGTGATACCTATGATATAAATATAACGAAGACGACGTGTACCTATATATATCGAGATTTTTTTTCATAAGATTTTAAATTATAATTTCAGCTTATTTCGTAGAATTGAAAACATGTAATACGCCAACCTATTTTTTATTTTTTTTTGTAATATACCTACTCCAGTAGTTAGTTGCTAGGAACGAAATACGTATTATTAGTATATTACTTATAAGGAACTGTGTTATGGGGTAAATCATGAATATATAGTATATACATATCTTGTGAGGTACCTGTATAATATAAAGTATAAAAAAGATTTGGTGCAAGGAAGTACCTGTTACGGAATAAATCCAGTGAAGCGAATTATACTAGACGGTCGTTATGATGATATGGGTCATAGAAAACGAAATGCATAGTCACTTCAACACGCGTAACATAGTTTACAATTCAAATCCCTTAAAATGTAAATAGTTGTACCTACTGTATACAGAAATTTGGTAAAATAAAACAACCGAAAAAAATGATTTATCTTAGGTTCGAAAATACAAGGCCAATTTATGCAATATGTATAGGTAGAATAGGTAATAACTAATAAGAAACCAAGTACTTTGCTAGATAAAATAATAAACATATAATATTGTATAAACCCAAGTAGGTACAACTTATTACGTATTATATTAAACAATCATGAAATTATTTTAAGAAATATAATAAATTATTCAATTTTTAATCAAATTTTATAAATTTAACCTAATTTACTTTTCAATTGCTGAAACTTCTTTTAAAATATATTGGGTATTTCTGTTATTTAACAAGAAATGTATAAGATTAATTTCGTGTATACATGAGTACCATAGACCTATAAAATAGGTCTTTTATAGGTCTATGATGAGTACATGACACATGCATTTTTTAATTTACCTACTCAATTATGTAAACAAAAAACGAATAACAATTATTGTCATAGTAACCGACTAGTTTATTGATTTAAAAAGCTAATCAAAAATTAGCCTAACGAGAACTCTTTAGCTATGAGGTAATAGGGATATTATACATAATTATACGAACTATAGTTAAATGTAATATATTTGTCTTATCTTCTATTTAATCAATTTAATGTGCATAAAAAACATTATGTTTAAATGTTTTATTGACACACATATAAATACCCACATAATAATAATTATATAAAATGTTAAGMTGTTAGCTGTTGAGTGATTTTAAAATTACCTGTTGATTAATAGTTAAGTTAGCATATACCTAGTTATAGTAATTAGTAATTACTTATGTACAAAACATATATAGACATTATTACTGTACCGATCCAATAAAAATAATTACTCAAATAATTATGATAATAAAAAAAGAGTATTTTTATTTAAAAAATGAATGAGAATTTTTTTGATTATAACAACTTGTTTATTATATTAATAACTAATTGAGTTTATGAAGTTATAACTTATAACTAACCAAATTACACAAATTATTGAAATTTGAACATCATACTAAAATACTTAAGTGTAGTGCAATTTTACACAATAGTTTATTTTATGTGAGGGGTAGTCTTCATAGGTAGTTCCTATGAAATATAAATGTAATATTTAATCAAATTTATAATAAAATATAATGCGAAAAAATAATCAGCACATGAGGTATCCTATAATAGTATTAGTAGGCATAAATTGGCAAATTAGTTAGTAAATTAAGTTTTACTTTCTTTTTATTAATAATAATGTAATCTCCTCAACCTTAACAATAGGTAATTGATATTTTTTTGTMATTAACCAGCAAACCAAGACTTGGAAATTCAAATAACTGTAGGATAAAAATATATTTATAATATAACTAAAAAAATATGTACAATAAGGTCAATTATTTTTAATCTTTATTATCAACAATTATACTCTAATAAAAGGGATTTTAAGATATTCAAAATAAAAATAATAGTCATGGTAAAAAGTAGAAGTATCCACAACTATCTCAACTTAAGTTTAAACAACAAACCTAATTAAATATCTAGAGGGAAATCTATAATTATCAAATATGTTTTTAATTAATTTAATTAGAGGTTATACATAGAATTTATAAGAAACTAAACTACCTATATTAACAATATATTACTTTCAAAATATTTATTAATTAATAATTATAGATAGGAAGGTGGTACCTTCCTTTATTTATACTTGTAGACGACTACCTTACATAGGCTATTAAGTATAAAACATAATTAGATATTATGTAAAAATTTCGTGATTAGGTAAAATTAAATTAAATTTAATGATAAGTTATCTTCAAAATATAACACACTTACTACTTTTAATGTACATTCCATTTCCAATTAGATATTTGATAGAATCTTATTAAAAAAAAAAAAAAGCATTTGTCGCAACAAAACTGAATCCTATTACTTAATTTTTTATATTTATTATTACTTATTATTTAGACGAAAATTCGGTTCACAATTTAAGTTCTGAAGATATATTTTTTTATTATATTTGAAAAAAAAAATGAACAAGATAAATATTACTTATGGGCACTGGGCAGCTATAATACCTACATCTCATTATTTACGTTATATTTATTATTTTGATTTCTCTGTTGCCTGTTCACTGATGTCGGTTATCATAATTATATATTATATTATACACTACTATCAATCCCCCATTAAAGTTATTATCAACAAATCAGTCATGTGTCATTGGGACATTCACATTTCAGATTACGCAATAAGACGTTGTGACTTGTGACATTAATGTTATTATTAAAATTTGAAATTGTAAAATATAGTCATATAGTTTAATAATATTACTGTATATAGAATACAGATTTAAGATAATTAAAAATTAAAATTGCTCTTTAATCTCAACTCTCGAGACATAAAGCTTTTGGATAGGCTCAATAAAAAATACTCAATTATTTGGATAATTAAATGCTATGAATTATAATTTAGTTAATTAAATACACAGTAATGGATTTGTTGTAATTTAGTTAGCCAATAATTTACAGTKATTGTGCTTCTTGCTCAACCAACGTTATAATAATATTGTTTCAAATTTTTACATAAATATGTGTGCCATCATGATGTTAAGTACTGTATTTCTATTGAGTTTGTGTGTTGCAACATGTTTTACTACTGCAATAAATGGCAACGATTGGACATTTAATTTTAACAATACAAATATTGGAGAGTTGGAAATGGGCAGCAGTACAAAAATAGTATTCTACACGCAGACAAATACAACCTGGGAAGACGAAGATTTACGACTTCAAATAATCAGTACTGATGAAGATGTAGCATATCCTAGTAGGCATTTCTTTAATTTACCCCAAAATAATTCAATGCCATCAAGTTTATGGGAAAATTCTTTTAACTTAACTTCTGAGTTTCTTGGGTATACAAAATTATACCTTCAAGTAGTAAAATTTGGTGAGTCAATAAAAAATATGTTGATACTAGAAGTACCTATATTTTTACTAACCGAATTCTCTGAACTCTTGCAGAAAATAACACAATACAATATGTTTTAAATTCAAGTGAAGTTCATATGAACATCAAAGTTATTCGAAAACCACAACTGATTGATAAGATATTTGTCATTTGTGTTGCTGTTTTGATGACCATTATATTTATTAACTTAGGATGCGCTCTAGATGTTGATCAACTTAAACAGAGTGTTAGAAAACCAATTGCTCCTGTAGCTTCATTTTTTGCTCAGTTCCTAATCTTACCAATAGTAAGTTAGTTTTATTAAAGTTAACTAATCAAGAGTAAAATTAATAAATTTTATTTTATTTCAGTTGAGTTTTATTTACGCCAAGCTAATATTCCCAAATTCAATTTCAATGCAATTGGGCTTGTTTTTTACAGGAATAAGTCCTGGAGGTGGCGCATCTAGTGTTTGGTCTCTTTTGCTGGGTGGTAATATAAACCTCAGCATTGTCTTGACAACTATTGGAACTCTGGAATCATTTAGTATGTATTTTAGAAAAAAACTAAAAAAAAAATTCTCAATTAGAACTATCATAATTACTATTTAATATCAATATATTATTTATATTTATATTTTAATATTTTATATTTTATATTCATGCAATATAATGTTAATTTATAAATTTAAAAAAAAAAATTGAAACATATTTAAYATATTTAAAAATATGTTTTTATTTTGCAGTCATGATACCATTTTGGGTTATCTTTCTCGGCAAACGTATCTTTTCTGTGGGTGAAATGCCAGTACCCTATTCCCGAATTGGATTCTCTATTGTTGCTTTAATTATTCCTCTGTGTATTGGGTATTGCATTCAACGTTTTATGCCTAGAGTAAGTCGGGTTATGACACGTATACTGAAGCCAATGTCTAGTTGTTTGATAATATTTATAATTATCTTTGCCACAGTCACTAACTTATACCTGTTCAAAATATTTTCATGGAAAGTGAGTTTTTTAAAAACTTTTTTTGGTGTGTAAAATTCTCATGTTCTTTATATTTTAGATCATTTTAGCAGGTGCAGTGATACCATGGACAGGTTATTTAGTGGGACTATTAACATCCATCTTGGCACGTTTATCTACACCAGACATAATATCTATGACAGTCGAATCTGGTATTCAAAACACTGGTATTGCCATATTCATGTTAAAATTTTCTCTAGGACAACCAGCAGCAGATATAACAACTGGTATTTTAAAATTTTATTTTTAAATAGTTTTAATTATTTAATAATATCAAACTGTTGATTATTTTAGTCATACCAGTAGCTGTCGCATTAATGACGCCAATTCCCTTATTGATATGTTTTATTATTAAAAAATGTTTTGCAAAAAAGGATGAAATAGTAAATAATCAAGATCCAGCAACTGAATCAATGCTTAACAAGAAAGAATGTGAAGTTCCATCTGCAAATACTGAGAATGAAAACAATCAACCGTGAATATTAACAATAAGACTTATATCACACCATGTTAGTTACTCTTGTTCAAATTTTTTAAATTTTATCTTTAAACATATGGATTGTACATTTTTTTTTCTTGTGCAATGAAAATTTGTATTTAATTGGTATTGTAATTAAATATAACACAAGAGTGGATTTTATACTATTAATATTATTTTTCTGAGCAGTTATTACTGATTAGGTTTAAAAAATGTATTGTTTAATTAATCAAAAGTTTTAGAATTAGTAAAAACAAGATTTTGTTAAAATTATATGTACATATTTTTCAATTTTTGTGTTGTATTRAATGACGTAACCTAATTGATATCATCAAGTATCAGCTGACAATTATACAAGAGAAAGACTTAATTAAATCTCAAATGATTCAGCCATAAAATAAATAGCACAAATCAACTTCTTATGTGATTTTTATTAAATAAAATAATATGTTGGAAATCATTAATCCTGTGAGACTTTTGTAACTAATAACTCTATTTTTTTTTCAGGTAGCAATTGTAATTAACAATAACAATATCTAACACAAATAAAATATTGAGTAGTCACACTCACAAACAATAAGTTTGAATAGCTTATGATGAATGTGAATTATACGTGGTTATTAAATACAAAACTACATAAGATGTTGAAATTGTGTTCATTAAATGTTTATTTATTTTCTAAAACTTTATATTTAGGTGTATGACTTGAAATAAATAATGATAAATATAAAACAAGAACTTTGAAACTTATCATTAGTCAGATAATTTATTAAAAAACCAGTTAAGCTTTTGTCCACAGTGTCAGGTAAATTAAACTATAAAAATAAGTTTAAACAAAACTTTTTCATGTACATTTTTTTAAAATTTAATACAAAAAAAAAATAAAAWAAATGTTACACTAATATCAAACACGAGTTATACCTACATTTGATGAAATACTAGGTCACCATTAAATTTTGTAAATTATAGCAAGATATTTAAGTATAGTTATGAATAGTAGATAAACATGTATTTAAAAAAGATAAATTGATTACAAAATTCTATTGAAATAGATACTAGAGTAATGTTTATAAAAAAAAATAAAGAACCGTTTATTTATTTTAATTTTTTTGTTAAAATAAAGTGAAGTAATTACACTATATTGGAATTTAAGGTGAGCTGCTAGATCCTGAACGACTGTGCTTACGCCTTCTTGGAGATCTTGAACGAGATCTCATTCTACGTGGACGAGGAGAACGCCGTTTTATAGGCATTGGTGATCTACGTCTATATCGAGGTGGAGTTCTTCGGCGCCCACCACCACCACCACCACCACCACCACCACCACCGCCACCCCAACCACCGCGGCGAATAGGACTTCTACGAATAGCTGGACGTGGTAACAACACTGGCGCACAAGTTATTTCTTGTCCATCAATTTGACCTATAATAATTTAAGGTTAACTATCAATAATTATAAAAGTTTCCAAATCAACAATATGACATTTACCTCCATCCATATGTTTCATGGCATTCTCAGCTTCTCCTGGAGTGGAATACTCAATATAAGAAAATCCTTTACACAATTTATTAAATCGATCTAGAGGTACATCTACTTCTTTTATTGTTCCRAAATCAGAAAATATTTCTTGAATATGCTCCTTAGTTATATTTCGAGTCAAACGACCGACATGAATACGACAGGGTTTTGGAGTTGGTGATCTTTCCTTCTTACGCCGTTTTGGACTACCTGATCTAAAATCATATCATAACTATAATTACACTAATATACCTTAAAAAAATATTAAATTAATAAGTTTAGGAATAATACCTTGATTTTCTTGAAGTTCTAGTTTTACTTTCAGCTTTTTTTACTTTTTCCTCATCATCACGTCTTGATTTTCTAGGGCTACGACTTCTACTCTTTGTTTTACTGCCACTTTTCACTCTTGGTTGCCTTAAGTTATTTAAATTTAAGTTTTAAAATCTCTATTTCAATATAGTACACTAATATATTACATAGGAATATTATTAAAATATTAAATAGTAAAACTTACTTTGTTTTTGCTTTAGCTCGACCAGTAGAAGTACCAGAAGAACTAGATGAACTAGATGAACTTGAGCTAGAACGTGAGCTAGAACCAGAACTGCTAGAGCTTGTCCGGCTACTAGATCCTGAAGAACCACTGCCAGAACGAGAGCTGCTTGATGAAGAACTAGGCAAACAATTATAATATTAATTGAAAATAAAATTAATACAAGAATATGAATTCATACCGACTACTACTCGAACCACTGCTTGATGAACGAGTACGTTTTTTCTTTTTAATGTTTTGTTCTTCTCTTTTATTTTCCTTATCCGAATGATCACCTTCCATTTTTTCTTTTCGATTCTTTGGCCTATAGAAATTAAAAATCAATAATAAGAGAAAAATAAAGACATGAATAATTTAAATGTACTTTGAGAATTAATAAAAAAAATAATTCTAATTTAGACTTTTATCAAGTAGAATAATTAGTACCTAATTTATATACTTGAGAAAAATAAATGGTAACAATGGTAACACTATTTAGATAAAATACCTAAATTATACTAAACTACAACAATATAAATGAAGTACCTACCTATTTTGTTATTTATAAATGAAAAAAGTATTCATAAAATACTCAAATGTGATGAAATTATAACGTTGTTAACATACAATTTGTTAGTTAGTATTTTAGAATAAGTATTATAGTAATTATTAAATTATTAACAAAATTTAAGTCTTAAGAATAAAAAGAATTCAAAACTCATAATGCCAAAAAATGGGAATGACGTTAGTTAACTACATGGTTTCCAGTTTTCCACCATTATTGTCGCACATAACTTGGAAGACCCCATAAAATACTATTTTTACATAATTTGTTACTAAGCTATGTAACTTTTAATTTAAATTGTATTGACTATATAAAGTTATTTGTACTTACACGCCCAAATTAAGGGGGCCACATATAAATTAATAATTGTTTTTGTTATCGAACAACCAAACCGACATGATCATGGGTATAAAATTATTACACTAACACGTTATAACGTAAAAATTGAGCATACTTACAAATCAGAAACAACCATTGCGGCGACCGCCAAAGGAATTCCAAAGTGAAACTAGACTAGAGATGTGTCGTACGCGAACGAACGGATCTAAACGAACGGGTCAAACCTGTGAACGAAACAATCCGGATCGTGAAATAATAAAAAGTCGTTCTTTCGTTCATTCGTTCAATTTCGACAAGCGTCTAGAGACAGAAAACGCCGAATGGCTGCAAGATGGCGGCTTTATGCTCTTATCAATATTATCTCTTATCTTTACAAACTGAACTGCTGATAACGTATGTTGATAAATTCGAAACTATTTAAAAATAAAACTGCATATTTGGATTCGACACAAGTACCTACCAATTACTATAAAATTAATAATTATTAAAATCAACAGTCTCATCATTAGCCAACAATAGTAAATTTCAAATTGCTTATTTGTAGACTTGATCTCAAAGTCATTAATAAATAGTAATTATAATATAATAAATTGTCAATAATCAAATATRTTAGTATAATATAGTAAGTTTAAAATTGTATAATTATAATATAATATGTATAATAAATTGTCAATAACCAAAATAACCGAATCGTTCATTTGACCCGTAATTCCCGTCTTTAAACTAGACAAATTTATCAATAACTCAATTCATAAAAACATTAAAAACATTCACAGACAAAAATGAAAATTTACGCCTAACAAATTGAACACTTGGACATWAGTGTTTACACTTTTACAGACATATTTTGTTGTCGCCTTGTCGGCAACGGCAATCGGCGATTGGTACCAGGCTTCATTTTCGTTCAACATTTGGTGATAACTTGGCATCATGCGCTTTTAACCATGATGGACCTCATGGTTACCGAATGTTTACACTCCGCATACCACGGTCGTAGATTATCAGGCGTGACAACMTTTTATCCATACCTCAGATTTTTCATTTAATTTGATCCATGAATATTCTACCATGGCTAAATAATATTTTAGCCATGGAATCCACGATTAAAGAGGCGGTAACAAAATTCGATCATAAAAACATGATTTCCTTAGCCCTCGTTAATTGTAAAAACAATGAATTTTTCACCGAAATAAAAGTGAGAATCTTTTCTAGGTTTTCTCGTTCCAGATTTTCGTATTTTTTTTCAACCCAATTGTATTTRTATTTGACATTTTTATAATTTCTTAAAAAATTATATAAAATACACAAACAATGTATTGTGAAAAAATCTAGATGAACTTCTCACGTTTATCTTGGTAAGTAAATACAGTTTCTACGATTAACGAGGTCTGAGGAAAACTTGAGTACAAAACCATGTTTTCAGTAAGTAAAGTTACAAATTTAATACTTATTAATTATGATTATTAATAGGCCATCAATTATTATTATAGCCATCATGTAATGAAAACGTTCATACCAACACGCTGCGCACAACTGTTACCAATTTACTAAACTTCACTATAATTGTTATTTGTCGGCAAATAAAAAACCAGTTTTTATATCGCAACCGGTCAGCACGCGTTTAAAAATATTTGGTACAAAATCATTACCGATGTTGACAATATTTGTTTTATTTTTTTCATAATATTCATGTCAGATTTTGCACTTGGTATGTTAATGTTATTATTCTGCTCACCGTAGTTTACACAAATTAAAAATCTCTCATCATAAATATAATACTGTTATAAATCATTAAAAAAAAACTACAATAAGTATGAATAATTACTTTTTTTGACTTGTTGAGACATTTTCTATTTTAGCCGTTGACTAACCAAATATGAAAATTAAATTTTCGACAAAAATATACCTTACTTACGAATAAATGTGTATTGAATAACTTGACTAGCGTGATCAATGTACAACGAATTCGAAGATTTTCAAACTTTTAACTTCAGAAGCTCATAGAAAATTATTATAGAATAATGCTCAACTTTTTTTTAAATTTCCACGTACAAAAACTACGAGAAACCTTTCGATATTATATATAAAAATAATGAAATTCGAAATATTTGTAATGTCTATAAATAGGTTTAAAAGAGGCAAAGTATTTTTAAATTTTATGCTGTACCTATAGAAAATGCTTACATAAACATTCGGTTGAAATTTCAAGTATCTACGATTATTTGAGAGTTATTGAGTTACAAAAAAAAAAAAGAAAAGAAAATATTTTTATTTTTTTTATTTTTAATTTGCCTTTTATTAAAAAACATAGCAAAACCAAATATTTTAAAAACTGATTTTGAATATAAATTCTTGTTTTTAACATTTTTTTTTCCAGATGCTTTTGAAAACTGGTGGGAATTTTAAATGTTTACCTCTCGAATATACCTACCAACTAGATACTGCCCGAAAAAATACGGAAGTTGAAAAACTAGGTAAGCATTATTTTGGTTATCGTATACACTTAAAAAGAAATCGTAATTTTATATTAAGTAGTGGTTGTGGATAAATGTGACGTAAACATAGCAGTTTATTCAATATTTTCATCTTTGAAGACAATTTATATTTATGAATCATAAATATCTAATAGTAAGTAACCATTAATCAGATTAATTGTATTTATACTTATTGGGAATAGGCCAATTAGATCATTTTTACATTTTATTCGTTTCTATAGTAGGTAATAGACAAAGCGTTAAAATATTTGGTTAGAAAAATAAAATAATATGCAGTATATACTCAGCAGAAAAATATATTTATCAAAAAAATCATTGTAAAATCAAAAATTAACTTAAAGTTAAAATGTTACCTAATAGATATGTTGAAAATGTAACTATTTAAGTTTAAAAATAAATTTAAAAAAAATACCATARCGGGTCGTTAAACATAATTCATATTATCTTAATGCATGGTGTGAATTTTTAATTTAAGTTTAATTTTCAACTTGTTAATGATCGATGTTGTATATGAGTTCATATGGGAATCCAAGTTCAGTTTAAAATGCTGAGCACATGGTCGCATGAATATGGACAATAATTGTGATTCACATTATTATTAGTTAAATAATCTTTATAACATTTTATTGTTATTTTAAACACCAAATATATAACAATTATAAAATAGTATTCTCTTTTATTTTGAAGGCTGGCTTCATTAAGTACCCTCCTCTAGTTTGTATATATTTGCTTCCAACCCTATATTTTGTGTCTTATTTTACTGTACTTGTTATTTAGTTAGCTTAGTTTTATGCTAGTGTCCTAAGGCCTTTATAATAATAATAAAAAACATGTTTTAGTTTTGAGTTTAGGGGTTAGTTGTTTTTAATGCGTCATTTATGTAACTGATGTTGAGGGTAAATGATAGCGACATTATGAATTTCCGAAATGAGATTGCAAATTCATGAAAGTGGTGACCTACATATTGGCGTATAAAAGATGTTTGCTAAAGTTTAATGTTTATCCATCAATGAGAAGATGAGGCCTGTTTGGATGTGTTGAACATGTTTTGATTTTTGTTATGGAGTGATTGTCGACAGTAATATGGTAAGCGAGTAAGTCATTATAAATAAATTAATTGAATAAGAACTAAGTAATAATTGATCAAATATTTTTAATATTAATTATCGTCAATAATTATTTGAAAATAAATATATATTATTAAGTATATTCATTGAATTTTTTAGCATGGCACCCGTGGATGACTACCGATAAAAAAACGGTTGAAGGTTGATACTAAATATTTTTTCTGTTTGATCTTGAATTCTTGATAATACATTTTTGTCATTTACAATCATCACAATTATTAGGATCAGGATGCAYGAGACCTGTACTTAAAACAATTGATAGAGGGGAAGCTTAGTCTAGTTAGTCTCATCAAGCCTTCTACAATTTCTACCTATTATGTCATATTATATTTGCTGTCGCACTTTCTATTTTACTATAGGTCATTTGTTAGGTTATTCAAAATCAACATACAATTTTTAAAATCTCAACCATCACAATTAACAAATTACAAATGTATTTTGTTATAGTATGAACACTTTTTTATAAATAAATAAAAAAATATTACAATCAATTTAAATAATTGAAAAAACTTTAAACATTTATAAAATAAAAATGGTAAATATTAAACGTAACATGTAAAATAAAATGAACAGTTATTTCACCAAATAAGAATTCAATTATGTTTTAAAAGTTATAATACTATCTTAAATTAATTTAAGTTTTAACTATAAATAACAYGATTCACATGATATTAACAATACTGTTTTAAATTATATTTTTACAAAAAAATCTACAGTTTAATATTTTACAATCATTACAGTAAAAACTACTAAAAAGTAAAAATTATGAATATTAAAATTATTCACGTTATTAATTATATTACCCTTGTTATTATTATTATTATTATTATTATTACAATAACATTTCCTTTAAACAGTATAAACTCTAATAATATAACAATTATAATATAGATCATATTACTTACTTTTACCAATATATGTAATAAGTCATATTGTATATCCTATAGATTATAGATTAAATATTATCTTATGTATACAAATGCAAAGTCTTTTATTTGGTAATGTATGTAGGTACCTACTACCTATACAAGAAAAATTAGTTTAAAAATTAGGTAATTTAAATGTTTCTGTGATCAAAATAATATAATGTAAATGTAAGAATTATGCAGTAAAATAATATAAAAGTTATTTCCAAGTAGGTACAAGTCTTAGAATAGTAATATTGTAATAAACACAGAGGATGCTACACATAAATTTGTTATCTCCATCTTATAAGTGCATAACATACCAAATTTACGTTCAGCAGATCACGTTTAGCTCCGTTAGTTTAAAAATTAGAGTGAATCRACCTATTATAAAACTTGATGTTAAGAACCCTATCTGTGTTTTTATATATTGTGTTTTACAATAGTTAAATTTTATAGCAAGTTATGCGTGTATAAAAAAGGGTAAATTAAAACTGCTCATAACTCACTTAAAAACTAAATTATTGTAAAAAACCGACATATAAAAACAGATAATATTCTTACCATTAGGTTTCATAATAATTAATAGGTCAATTTACTTTAATTTTTACACTAATGTAGTTAAGCATAAATTTGCTTAGTTACGCAATTGTAAGACGGAGACAACAAATATGTGTGCAGCGCCCTCTTAATATAATATATATAATACATTGCCTTTAGTTTTTAATTTGTATTTACATACATACTTTTTTCAATCATTTTTATTGTTATTTTATGAATTACTAATTAGCAATTTTAACAAATAATAAAATATTTAGTTTAATATCAAATGCTTCGGAAATAATAAAAAATTAGGTAATGTATTAAAATTAAAACAAACCGTTTGATATAAGTGCACACCGCTAGCCCAGCGAGGTTAATATATTATGAATTATGATATATGTGATCCAAGCATAATATAAG